CTAACGGTGGGACCAATGGACCTCGTTCACCCAGTATACATCTCACCACTCAACACGTATCCACTCCTCATTGGAAAAGACCTGCTTAATCGCTTTGAACCCTTAATTGACTTCAAGCAACTAAAGATATGGAGTTGACTCAATGCTGGAAAAGGGGGTTCTCTGGCCCTGTAACAGCACATACTCTGCTCCGATATGGCCAGTCATGAAACCCAACGGCAAGTGGGGGCCCACTATCGACTATCGCAAGTTGAACCAGCAAGTACCTCAATCACTGCCTCAGTGCAGGCCTGTACCAGCTCCATGGCAAAGACAAGCGAGTGGTCGCTTATGCCAGCAAAACACTGCTTCCCCCAGAATGCAAATACTCAGACTGCGAAAAAGCTTTGCTTTGCACTGTGTGGGCCATCCAGCGTTTCTCCAACTACATTGGAGCTCAGAAGGTTATCATTGAAACCTGTCACCAGCCAGTAACCTTCCTCAAAAGCCAACGAATTAGGGATGGCGTGGTAACCAACGCACGCATAGCTACTTGGCTAATGACACTCAAATGACGGGACGTTGAGGCATGATATACCCAAAACCACAGATCATATCTAGGAAACGGGCTAGCAGCCTGCCAGAACTGTTCAACGGACACGCTGCACACAGCAGCAGAACCCAAAGAACTGTTACAGCCACAACTGACAAACCACAGGTACTTCGAGGAGAATGTGTGTGAAGGGATGCCCACAGCATATGTCGATGGCTGCTCCTGCAATCAACAGGACAACTTGAAAGCTGGAGCGGGAGTGGTCTGGCTCAACAATGACCCGCAACAATTCAAATTAGGCCCTCACTCATCGCAATATGCAGAAATTGCGGCCATCCTCATCACCCTACAATTTGTTGCATCCCACAACATCAAAGAACTCTTCATCTGTACCGACTCGAACTATGCCCGTCTAAGCTTCACATGCCATCTAGCTGGATGGAAACAGAATGGATTCAAGACAGCTAACAACAAGCCTGTCAAACATCAGGAACTCTTCCAAGCATGCGAAGCCATTGTCACTGAACATGACATGATCGTTTATTGGAAAAAGGTCCGAGGCCACTCACGTCAACCAGGACAAGACAAAGATCTCAATGACCAAACTGATGCCATCGCCAAAGCAGGTGCATTACACGGAAATTCCTGGACATGTCCTGCCCTTCCACCCACCCAATCAGTGGCTGCTATAACCCGCCACCAGCACGCCACTGGCGCGCAAACCCCCACCTCCTCCCACATTGAACTCTCACCTCAATTCGCCACTGATGATCTCCTCACCCTCCAAGCTTCAGATCCGACACGCAAACCTATTGCAGCTCACCTTTCAGACCCATTAACTCATCCCATTCCCACCTCCAACCTAGCCACTTCCTATGACCTCCGCACGCTCAACTCTATCAAGCACATGCTGCATCTCAAAGACGGCGTCCTCACATATGTCCCTGAGCCCCTCACTGCGCCAAAGCTCGTAGTCCCTCAGGGCCAAAGGGGGATAATGCTGACGCACGCCCACGATTCACCATGCGCTGGACACCATGGCACCAAGGCCACATACGAAACGCTCAAGCAAGTAGCATACTGGCCTGGCATGCAGCAAGACGTGGCGGAGTACGTAAAAGGATGCCTGGTATGTTGCCAGTTCCAACCGGCAAATCTAAACCACCGAGCACCACTGCAACGGAAAGGAATGACCTTCCCATGGTCGGACCTCCAAATAGATTGGGTGGGACCCCTACCACGGTCAACAAGGGGTAACAAATACTTCCTCAACGTGGTTTGCGAATTCACAAAGTGGGTAGAGTGTCAAAGTGCTCAAGCAAGTAGCATACTGGCCTGGCATGCAGCAAGACGTGGCGGAGTACGTAAAAGGATACCTGGTGTGTTGCCAGTTCCAACCAGCAAATCCAAACCACCGAGCACCACTGCAACAGAAAGGAATGACCTTCCCATGGTCGGACCTCCAAATAGATTGGGTGGGACCCCTACCACGGTCAACAAGGGGTAACAAATACTTCCTCACCGTGGTTTGCGAATTCACAAAATGGGTAGAGTCTCTCCCAGCTCCCAACGATACAGCAGAAACAACAGCCTGGCTTTTGATGAACCACATCTTCTCAAGGTTTGGACTGCCTTTAAGGGTCAACTCTGACCGAGGAAACCACTTCACCGCCGAAGTCATGCAGGAAGTGTGGAAACTATTGGGTATACAGGCCAAGCTCCATATAAGCCATCACCCAATTTCCTCAGGCCTAGTGGAACGAGGCAACAGGACAGTGGTCAGCATGATGAAGTAGTATGTGTCCGCCAATCAAAAGGATTGGGATATTAAGCTTCCTCTGGTAATGATGGCCATCAGGGCCACCCCTCACCGGTCTACCGGTGTGCCCCCGTTCGAGATGATGGCGGGGCGACAAATGACACTACCGTTACACCTGCTGTACCAACCTGGTAACCTGAACCTCGTCACCGCCTATACCACTCACCAGTACCTGGAGGAGTTGCATCAACACCTGAGAACAACGTTCGCCTTCGCGCAACAACAACTCCAAAGAAGTGCAGAAGGTTGAAAAGCCTACTATGACCAAAAAGCCTCTCACCAGGAACTTAATGTCGGAGACAAAGTGTGGTACTACAGCTTCGACCAACCAAGGCAGAACGCTCCCCATCGCCTGTCAAAGAAATTCCTACCTCACTGGACAGGACCCTATGAGACTGTGAACAAGCTCTCACCTGTTGCCTGTCGAATCAAAATCAGACAAGGGCACAGCGAGCCAGTCCTTCGATAGGTCCATCGAAACCAAATAAAGAGGCACCAGGGCTCCAACTGACAGGAAAAGGGGGAAGATCAACTGACACAGACCGACAATCTCATACTCT